CCCCAAAACCCCAAAACCCCAAAACCCCAAAACCCCTTAATGCTATAATTATAGAACTTATATAATAGTTTTTATTTCACAAGAGTTAAGGATGTCAGATTATTACATTAATAATTCAGAAGATTCTGGCAGGGAGTTCCAAATTGAACCTCTATCAATTAAACAGCTTACTACCTAAAAAGCAAGGATCCGTACATATTTACCAGTCGAGGACAACTGAGGACACCGGTTCATTTAAAAATATTAATTATCATTCCAAGATTAATGACAATTTGAGAGAAAAATATACCACAACTACTGAGTTCTACAATGCCAAGGTGGTGCATGACATTATGTATAATGAGAGTGTCCAAATTGTGTCCATTTTCAAGGACTACCTAATTCTAGACGATTTAACAGAATTCTTCAAACGTCCATATTCTAAAGAGGAAGCGCATCAGAAGTTACCTAGGATGATCAAGTTCTATGACTCTTACTCTAAAATAATTCCTAATTATGCTGTCTTGCCTGAGAATCAGCACCTGTTTAAAAATATTGCAAAGAAACAGAAGGCTGCAGAAGAAAAACACAGGTATTTAATGTACAAAAAGACACAGAAAAAGCCCTCTGAAGAAGAGCATGCCCGGATGATGAATTCGATTATGTCTGAAGAGAAGCTCTTCGATCCCAAATTTATCGAGGAAGTTAAGCTACAGAAGTACTTACCTGACAGAAAGGATTATAAGCAGATGAAATTGTCCAGAATTCTTGACTCTTTTCTGCAAAGTTCCTCTATCATGTTATCAAAGAGCCTTCACTCAACCTTCAAGGACACAAATACCAGTATATTTTCAAGAATAAGTGAGAGTATAAATATGATCCCGCCAGATACATTGGAGCGGTTGAAGAAAAAGCCTGAGTTTTGATTCACTGCAGATGTGCTTAACCAAAAAGCTAAGAACAAGCTCATCACCGATCATGACACTGGCAAAGCCATCGCATTCCGAATAACTAGAGCTCTCTTTGCCCAAAAGAGGAAGGAAGCCGCCAAGCAAAAGGAAGAAGGAAAGAAAGAAGCAAAGAGAAAAATGATTGATAAGAAAATTATTCTAAAAAGCACCAAAGAAAAGTTTTCAAATAAAGCTTCCAAGAGGATTTCAATTGATGATCGAAACCGGTTTATTCAGACAATAACGAAGATTAAGACCAGAAATACAGCTTTGAAGCAATAAAGACAAATGTGATCCCTACTAAATTTGAGGCTTTAGGTGAGAAGGATAAGAAGGAATATGAGAAATCCAAGATTGACTCAACCCACTTACCTCCAACACTTCCTCATGGAAATATTAGCCGTTTGAACTTAAGGACTAAGAGTAATTTCTCTAATATTATCATGCCTTCTCAAATGAAAAGCAGGAGAGCTAGTAAGCTAAAGATATCACTGAAATCACCAATGAATATGGATGATAGAATAAGGAGTTCAACACCTCAATCAAGTATTCTAGACTCGAAGAATTACACCAAGCTTAGTGAAAAGACTAAGCATGTATTGTTTGGAAAGAGGTCCACTTCTAAACAATCGCGGAAGCGGCCTAAGACTAAAATCTGCTTTAATGACAAGAGGGATAATTCTCGTATTTCGAAGAATAAGCGGAGCTCGAGTAATCACTTTTCTAGGAGTACTTCTATCAGAAAGAAAAGGAAGGATATGCAAAGTAGATATAACATCAATTCAACGCTTTTTAAATCAGTGGATATGAAGAAAAATAATAATTTATATGAAGTAAATCGAGGTTTGAGCAATAGCCTTTCTAAATTCGACTCTACAACATTGTCGTTAATGCATTCTGGTCATAAGACCTCTCTAGCAATGTATGATTACCCAAATATGGTACGTAGCAGTAAGATCGACTCAAAGAAATCCTTATTCACATCTTCCCAAAAGAGCAAAAATCTGAAATCCTGATCAAAGACCAAGAATTTTAAGTTGTTCAAAAAACGGAATTTGAATAGTAAGATCTCTAAGGAGCTGAAGTTAACGGAAATGAGTAGATTTTCGCCTAATAAATCAAGACTGATTGCTCATAAGAAGCATACGTCAATGTGTTAATTGTTAATTAATCCAATTTATGAAACCTTCTTTCAGACCATGAGAGCTTTAATGTATTAAGTATTGGCTTAAAATGGTTTTTGGGTGAGATTTGAGGAGGTTTTGGTAAGAGAAATATATGGAAATTTGGAATAAGTTTTAGAATATGAAGGATTTTAGGTGAAGATGGGGTTTTAAGTAAGATAGGACTTAGGGAGGGTTTATAGAATCGAAATATGAACTTTTAGAGTATAATAAGGTATTTATTAATGAATTTTTTAAAGATGTGAATTTTTATTCTACCATTTTTAGCCAGGTAAATTCTAAAAATTAATAACACTGGAGATTTTGCTATTTTTATCATAAGTATTGATATAATCCCATTCAATATGAACTCAGATTTCAGGGGTTTTGGGGTTTTGGGGTTTTGGGGTTTTGGGGTTTTGGGG